TTATGAAAAAATTAACAAAATAGGTAGACTGCTAGCTAGACTAATATAAAGAGAGAAAAGAATCAAATAGACACAATAAAAAGTGATAAAGGGGATATACCACTGATACCATAGAAATACTACCATTAGAGAATACTATAAACACTTCTATGCCAATAAACTAGAAAATCTAGAGGAAATGGATAAATTCCTGGATGCTTACACCCTACCAAGACTAAACCAGGAAGAAGTTGAATCACTAAATAGACCAATAACAAACTCTGAAATTGAGGCAGCAATTAATAGCCTACCAACCAAAAAAATATCAGGACCAGATGGATTCACAGCTCAATTCTACCAGAGATACAAAGAGGAGCAGTACCATTCCTACTGAAACTATTCCAAACAATTGAAAAGGAGGGATTCCTTCCATCTCATTTTATCATCAGCATCATTCTGATACCAAAACTGGAAAGAGACAACAAAAAAAGAAAACTTCAGGCTAATATCCCTGATGAACATCAGTGCAAGCTCAATAAAATATTGGCAAACCAAATCCAGCAGCACATCAAAAAACTTATCTACCATGATCAAGTCAGCTTCAACCCTGGGATGCAAGGCTGGTTTAACATATGCAAATCAATAAACTTAATCCATCTCATAGACAGAACCAAAGACAAAAACCACATGATTATTTCAATAGCTGCAGAAAAGGCCTTTGATAATCAAATTCAATATTGAGATATTGATTGAACATATCTCAAAATAATAAGATCTTTTTATGACAAGCCCACAGCCAATATCATATTGAATGGGCAAAAGCTGGAAGCATTGTCTTTGAAAACCTGCACAAGACAAGGATGTCCTTTCTTACCACTCCTATTCAACGTAATACTGGAAGTTCTGGCCAGGGCAATCAGGCAAGAGAAAGAAATAAAGGGCATTCAAATAGGAAGAGAAGAAGTCAAGTTATCTCTGTTTGCAGACGACATGATTTTATATTTAGAAAACCACATCATCTCAGCCCAAAACTTCTGAAACTGATAAGCAACTTCAGCAAAGTCTCAGGATACAAAATCAATGTGGAAAAATCACAAGCATTCCTTTACAACAACAATAGGTAAGCAGAGAGCCAAATCATGAATGAACTCCCATTCACAATCACTACAAAAGATAAAATACCTAGGAATAGAGCTAACAAGGGATGTGAAGGACTTCTTCCAGGAGAACTACAAACCACTGCTCAAGGAAACAACAGGGGACACAAACAAATGGAAAAACATTCCATCCTTATGGATAGGAGGAATCATCAATATTGTGAAAATGGCTACACTGCCCCAAGTAATTTATAGATTCAATGCTATTCCCATCAAACTACTGTTGATATTTTTTGCAGAACTAGAAAAAAGTGTTTTAAATTTCATATGGAATCAAAGAAGACCCCATATAGCCAAGACAATCCTAAGCAAAAAGAACAAAGCTGGAGGCATCATGCTACCTGACTTCAAACTATATTACAAGGCTACAGTAACCAAAACAGCATGGTACTGGTACCAAAACAAACATAAGACCAATCGAGCAGAACAGAGACCTCACAAATAACACCATACATCTATAACCATCTGACCTTCGACAAACCTGACGAAAACAAGCAATGGGAAAAGGATCTCCTACTTAGTAAATGGTGCTGGGAAAACTGGTTAACCATATCAGAAAACTGAAACTGGACCCCTTCCTTACATTGTTTATGAAAATTAACTTAAGATAGATTAAAGACTTAAATGTGTAACCCCAAACCATAAAAACTCTAGAAGAAAATCTAGGCACCATTCAGGACATAGGCACGGACAAAGACTTCATGGCAAAAATGCCAAAAGCAATTGCAACAAAAATCAAGATTGACAAATGGGATCTAATTAAACTAAATAGCTTCTGCACAGCAAAAGAAACTATCATCAGAGTGAATAGGCAACCTACATGACAGGAGAAAATATTTGCAATCTACTCATCTGACAAAGGTCTAATACCCAGAATTTGCAAGGAACTTAAACATATTTACAAGAAACAAACAACCCCATTAAAAAGGGGGCAAAGGATATGAACAGATACTTATCAAAAGAATATATTTACGTGGCTAACAAAAATATATTTTAAAAAAAGCCCAACATCACTGATCATCAGAGAAATGCAAATCAAAACCACAACAAGATGCCATCTCATGCCAATCAGAATGGTGATTATTAAAAAGTCAGGAAACAGGCTGGTCATGCCTGTAATCCTAGCACTTTGGGAAGCCAAGGTGGGCAGATCACAAGGTCAAGAGATCTAAACCATCCTAGCTAACATGGTGAAACCCCATCTCTACTAAAAATACAAAAACTAGCTGGGCATGGTGGCACGTGCTTGTAGTCCCAGCTACTCAGGAGGCTGAGCTAGGAGAATTGCTTGAACCTGGGAGGCAGAGGTTGTAGTGAGCCAAGATTGTGCCACTGCACTCTAGCCTAGTGGCAGAGCAAGACTCCATCTCAGAAAAAAAAAAATAGATGCTGGTGAGGCTGTAGAGAAATAGGAATGCTTTTACACTGTTGGTGGGAATGTAAATTAGTTAAACCATTATGGAAAACAGTACAGTAATTCCTCAAGGATCTAGAACCAGAAATACCATTTGACTCAGCAATTCTAATACTGGGTATATACCCAAAAGAATATAAATCATTCAACTACAAAGACACATACACATGTATGTTTATTTCAGCACTATTTACAATAGCAAAGACATGGAGCTAACTCAAATGCCCATCAATGGCAGACTGGATAAAGAAAATGTGGTATATATACACCACGGAATACTATGTAGCCATAAAAAGGAATGAGATCATTGAGATCATGTCCTTTGTGGAGACACGGATGAAGCTGGAAACCATCATTCTTAGCAAAGTAACAAAGGAGCAAAAACCAAACACTGCATATTCTCACTCATAGGTGGGAGCTGAACATTGAGAACACATGGACATAGAGAGGGGAACAACACACACCAGGGCCTGTTGGGGATGGGAGTTGAGGGGAGGGAACTTAGAGGATGGGTCAACAGGTGCAGGAAATCACCAGGGCACATGTGTACCTATGTAGCAAAGCTGCACATTCTGCACATGTATTCTGTTTTTTTAGAAGAAATTTAAAAAAAATTTTTGATCATTTTCTTACTATTTATACCAATTCTGTTAGTAAACTAAAATTCTCTGAGAGTTTCCATGTTTCAGTTGTATATCAGAACAACTGTTCTTTCATAATAAAATAAAAATATGCTTGGTGGAAAAAAAATCACTCCACCATTATACAGAGCATACATGTCATAGTTGTAGCCAAAAAATCTCTAAAAGAGGAGTAATTGATGCAAACTTTGACCACAGAAAAAAATCAGTAATAAGAAACCTATGAAATATGCCATATCATGAAATGTGCCTTCCTGATGAACTTGTCAGGATGACTTAATTGCAAAATATTCTACCTAGTAATTGACTTGACTGCTTCATATACTTGTTTGTAAAATGAGACTTATACCTTTTTCCTAAGATTTGTATGTGAATTAAAGTAAATAATATGTAATCAAGCACTTGTGCACATTTATTCTTACTAAGTCTGACATCTCCAAGTTACCTTTAGCTCTGTTCTTTCTCTTACCCTTCTCTAAATCCCCATATATACTTAGTTGCTAAATTCTATAGATTTTAATTTTTTGAAGTGGCTCAAAATAGCTTCAGTTTTCCATTTCTATTAGATCTCTAGTATAGGTACTCACTTCTCTCAAATCTGTTTCAATAGCTCCTTTCTTTCCATGATTCATTTATTATTTTTTTTTGTTCAACAGAATCATGCGTCTACTATGTTCTAGGCACTGTGTGAGATGTAGATTGTATTGTGGTGAGAAAACAGACAATGCCCTTGACCTCACTGAATTTCTTTTGAATTGGGGGTATTCAGCAACTTATACCTCTTTTATAGTAAATGCTTCCAAGAATAAGCCAGGGAGAAAACCCAATGGGCCTATTTTTCTTTGACATAAGTCTCATCTACATACCTTACACATAAAACTGAAGGAGTTTTCATCTTGGAAGCATAACTTCGTATCACTCCTTGCCTCAAAACCCCTCAGTGGTTCTTGATTGCCTTGTGCATGAATACCAACTCTTCTGCCTACTTTTAAGGTTCTAGATTGTCCCTAATATAATACTCTGCTATTGTCTAGGTTAAGTGGATTCCAGGAGCATTATAAACATTTCAGATCCTAGCAACACTTGTTACTGCTTCTCCAGGTTGGGTTAGATGCCTTCCTTTGTCCCCTCATAACATCATGTATTATTGCCTTTCTCACTGCTTCTCCAGGTTGGGTTAGATGCCTTCCTTTGTCCCCTCATAATATCATGTGTTATTGCCTTTCTCACTGCTTCTCCAGGTTGGGTTAGATGCCTTCCTTTGTCCCCTCATAATATCATGTGTTATTGCCTTTCTTCTACCATAACACCCCTTTCCTCCTCTTCTTTCCCAATGTACTATGTTGAGACCTGTATCAAAAAAACCTCTGCCCTGCTGTCATCAGCCTCTTTCCCCATTCCACCGAGGCTACACTTCACCAGGATCCTATAAAAGGGTGGAATCACCTGACTTCATCAACTATCATGCTAAATATTCAAGTACATAACTTTTGAACCATTTGCCCACTGTGAAAATCACTCACATGAAATATCACATAAACTTTTCCTTCAGTCAAATATGAACATCCCACTCATCTGACTTCTTGCTTCTCTAAGCGTTTCAGGATGGGTTATGGAACTTTCTTTATGTGGTTCATCAGGCACCTCTATATTCCCAACCTCTCTTCCACATGCATTTTGAGTTCCTTTCCTTAAAAGCAATCTGACGTTTCCCTGAAGAGTGCCACTGCAGTCCTCTTAAATGGTTGTCCTGTTGAAGGAAATGGTAATTACAAAGAGACCAAATAAAAACCTTTTTCAGCCAGTAAATTCTGGTTTCATAATTTTATGAATTGATTAATGTTAAGAGATTAGTGAAAGTGGCTGTGACAAAAGGGTGAAGAGGGCCACAGGAAGTGATGCTGCCACACTTTGTATTAAAGAATTCCTGGGAATTGTTCACAAGATTGAAAATGCAAAGATAAAATGTTGGAAGCTGATCTAAACTTAGAAAGCAGAATGACAATTTATCAATACAGAAGATTACGTAATAGTATGAGAAGAGGCAAACACAGTTCACACTACTATTGGTAACATTTTTTGTTTTCTTTGTTTTTTTTACAAAGAATAAAGACTAATTCTCCATGTTTCTCATGTTTTAAATTATGGCATACTGAATAAATTAGTTTTACAATTTAAAAAATTCCTGATATATTTTTACCTAGCAGTAAGAGAGTTTTGGATGTTTCAACAATAGTTCTTAAGGGTCACTGAACAATTTTAATTTTTCTCTTTGATTAAGATCACGTTGCACGATATCAACTTCCACAGTCATTTTTATAGTCCCGTTCTACCATGCCAAGCTAGGACTGGCTGTATGCTAGTTTCTCAATTCCTTAACCAACTCATATACAATTGCCTTTACTTCCTTTTACCCCTCTAGACCTTGCCATCACCAATATTAGTATGACCCCTGAAATCTTTATTTCTAGCAAGTTATTCTCATGCAATCATTTCCTGTCCTTTCCGCTCACCACCTCTAGTACCCTTAAGACAGCCACTCTTTAATCTTATTGAAATCGCCAGTTCATTGGCTTTTGTCACCATTTATAGCCCTCTAATTTCCTTCCTTATTTAGCTTACATTTCATGGCTCATCATTATAATCACTCCTTTCCAAACACACTCCAATTTTTTTGTCTCTCTTCCTCACCTAGAAAACGCCTTCGTGAACAAACCGTTATCTGCTTTGTCCAAGCCTCAATCCAAGTAGCCAAATTTGACTGAGAACCTTACAAAGCCAGACTGACTAGTTTCACTTTAAATTCATGACAAGTCTCAAGTAGGCAAAGCACTTGGCATCCTGGAAACTTTGCTTTCTTGCTCTCTGACACACCCTCTTCCTCAAACCTTCTGTATCTCTCTCCTTTACTCAATTGTCAGCTGATTTTCCCTTTATATTTCATTAAGGAAAGAAAATATGTCAGAAATAAAAATCCTTCAAGTTTTCCACTCACCTGCTTGCAGCTGCAGCCACTTTCTGTCTTTCCAGTTAGAATGGGTGGATTCTGCTTCTCATCTAATACCTGTGCTCGGAGGCCCATTCCTTCTTGCCTTCTTACAAGCTGCCTTCCAGTAGCATTTCCTCTCTCTGCTCAACCATGGTTTTCCACCTTCGGACTCAATCATTCTTGTTAGTATACCAACTGTTTTCCATCTTAAAAACATTGCTAACCACCTCTCCAGATACTCTCTTTCTCCACTACTTTTAATAATAAAACTTCACAGAAAAGAGTTGTCTATACTCAGGCTCCAATTCCTAGTCTCCCATTCCTCCCCTCATCTGCTTCAATTTAATTTCTGAAACCACCACTTTGCTGAAATAGCTTGAAACAGTCAAGATAGTTAATTACCTTCAGGTTGCTAAATACAATGGCTACTTCTATGTCAACTTACTAACTTCTCCATTGAGAGAGGTGACCAATTCCTTTTAAAAACTCTCTCCTTTCAGTTTACAGTACTTTACACTCAGTTTTCTTCTTTTTCCTTCTCTGTCTTACTTCCACAAGTTGAATACCTTTGGACGTCTTGGTTTGGGGCCTTATTTTCATCTATATCTGCATAATCTAAGTGGCCTCATTCAGTTTCATGTTTTTTTTCCCCCCTTATCACTGTATTTCCAGGGCCTAACTCAGGGTGTAACTTATTAAACAGTAAGACAGTATTTGATTAATGAACAGTTTTTTATGTCTCCATCATTTAACATAGTTCTCAGTTTATATTTGGCTTGCCATAAAGTATTTGTGGAATAATTGAATGGTCATTATTATTATTATCATACAAATGAGGAAATGGAGGGTCAGAGATATTAAATAATTTACCTATGGTCACACAGCTAGTAAGTGGCACATCTGGGATTCAAACCAAAGTCTTAACTCTAAATCCTTGTTCTATCCATTACATCATAGTACCTCCCTATGTATTTGGTCCTTAACTCCTAGAATCCACCTTCATTTACCTTATTCTTATGGCAAACTGGAATGAATGATTGATGTACCTGAATATGTCTATTTTCCCCCCTCAGCCTGTTTTGGGCTTGAAACCCAATTTCTACTTCCATTGCACATCTACCTGTATCTTTCCTACCTGTCTTTAAAGCAGTTTTCAAATTCTCTGTCAACCTTGAAATCTCCAATTTTTTAGTTGCTAGCAAACTCCATTTTTTTTAGTTGCTAGTTGTCTTCCACCTAAGCTGCCTTAAAGTACAATTAAATATTTGTACCATATTCTATTAGTGTCGAAGCTGCCGATAGGATCCCAATCTATACAGTGCCTCCTTAATATTTTTCCTTGCCTTGCACATTGGAAGACTCAATCAGTATTTGTTGACTCCGGAATAAATTTGCATTTGATCTTGTCAACGGAAATAACAGACAGGTTTGCCAAACATGACAAATTTATTTGCGAGTAGACATTGCAATGTGGAATAAGGTGCCATAGTAAACTACAGGTGTATTGAGGGAGGTAAAGGAAGACAAGGGGTTTACAAGGAAAAGGGGAGGATTACCTAAGTTGTTTCGAAACAATTACCCTTGGCTATAAAGATCAATAACAAAGGGGATGCCAGTCCAAGACTGGGCAGCAGTAGCTGTGCACATGTCCTTAAAGCACTTTTTGTGTAGTTTTGTGGCCTTTGTGCAAGGTTGTGGTTTTGGCAGTTTTTTGTGTTAATTCTTGATATCAGGCTATTATTAGTGAGAACCTTCCCTTCGTGGCTTTCCTTGACTCCATTTTGTAACAGCTTTCACAATGCAGATAGCCGCAGAGGTTTTTTTTTTTTTTTTTTTTAAACGCTGAACTCTATCCGGGGAGTCTGAGCGAGGGTCCTGATGAATGAAGACAATTTAGCTGAAAGACGCAGTTGCCTGTTGGCAGATTCGGACAAGGAGTGCAGTGGAGGCTGACGCCTGCACGGGGCAGGACTGAGGAACAGGGCCCGTCTGGCCTCAGCTGCGAGAACGAAGCTGGGTCAGCAGGGCTCGAAGGCCTGGCACCGTCGGTGGGGACCTCTCGGACCGGAGCAAGGAGCCAGGCTGGGCTGGGCGTGGTGACGGTGGTTGTCAATGCGACATCCTAGAAATCATCCCTTTGTCTTCCCGAAGTTCTGTTGCTGGGGTGTAGGCAACAACAATGAATGGAAAGGAAGCGGGATTGTACTTTGAATCTGAGCGCATCCTCCACCTTCCAGAACAAGCATCTGCAGGCGCAGGTGAGGGAGGCCGTGATGGCAGCTGCGGACTGGCCAAGCTCGGCTCCTCACGTGAGGTCCCAGGGGAGCCCAGACGCAGCCGAGATCATACACCGGCTCCGCGTTCTCCCGGGGGTACCTGCCAAGCCGGCCTCAGGCCCCTCCCCGGCTCCCCGCCACCCGCGTCCTCGGCGGAGGCATCAACCACGCGGGAACGCAGGCACGCGGGCCGAATCTCGGCGACTTTTTCCCGCCGTGCCTTCCCCACGCTCCTCGGCGGGCGCCTTCGGCCCCCCGGGGCAACTGCGGATGCCCCGGGAAGCGCGGCCGGGACAGGTGGCTCCGCGGCTGTCTTCCGGCGCGCCAGCGAGAGGGGCGGCCCGAGAACAAAGGCGGGCGAGGGGCGGCGACTGCGAGCGCGCAAAGGCAGAGGCCGGGCAGTCCCCGGGCGGCTTCCGGGGCACGGCGACCCCCGGCAGGGAGGGGGCGGGGCGGGGACCCCCAAGAGGGGCGGGGCGAGGCAAGGCAAGCGCAGCGGGGCGCGGAGAGAGGGAGGGAGAGAGGGTGACGCGCGTAGGGGCCGGGCCGGGCTGGGGGCCGCGGGGAGGGGGCGGCTGCCAGTGCGCCAAGTGGAGACGAGCCGGGCCGGGGCGGGCCGGAGGGCGGGCGGGAGGTGGGGCGCGCCGCGGGCTGGTGGGAGCCGCGGCCGAGTACGACGCCGGGCCGTGGGGAGCCGGGCGGCGGCGGGGCTGAGGCAACTGCGGGTCTGAGGGTAGCAGCGGGGCTGAGGCGGCGGCGGAGGTGAAGGGAGCCGCGGCGGCAGTGAGGCCAGCGGCGGAGCTGTGGGGGGCGGCGGCCGGGCGGGTCGGGCTGACGTGAGGAGCGCCGCCGCCGCCGGGCGTCCTCCATTCCGGCCCACATCCACGCGCCCTCCCAGCCTCCGGCGCCCTCCCGCGCGGGCGGCGCGCTGGCGGCGGCCATGGCGGTGGCGGCGGCGCCGCTGGCGGGCCGCGGGGCGCGCGGCGGCAGGGGCCGGCCCCCGGGCGGGCGGGCGGAGGGGGCGGGGCCGGGGCGGCGGGGGGCCCGCGCGGTGGCGGCGGCAGCGGCGGCGGCGGCCGGGACGAGGCGGAGGCGACGGCGGCGGCGGCGGCGCGGGGCGCTCGGGCTGATGGCGGCGGCGGCGGCCGGGCCCGGGGCGGCACTGTCTCCGCGGCCGTGCGAAAGCGACCCGGCCACTCCCGGAGCGCAGTCCCCGAAGGTGAGGAAGCGGCCGGCGCGACCCGACCCCAACTCTGACCCTCTCCGGGGCCGGGGCTCCGCGGTCTCGGCCCAGTCCCACCGGCGGCCGGCCGGCGTCTCGGGGGCGTGGGCCGCAGGCTGTGCGCTGCCCCTGAGACCCGCGGTGGTCGGCGAGGCGGGGCCCGGAGAGGAGCCCCCGGCCCCAAGCGAGCAACAAGTGCGGGCGGGCGGGCGGGCGGTGCGGCCTCCCTGAAGTTGGCGGCCGGCCGCGTTTGACGAGACTGTCCCCAGACGCCTGTTCCCTGGCCAGCTGCGGGACGGAACGCGCCCGGGGCGGGGAGACGCGGCCTCGCAGGGGCCTGCATTCCGGGCATAGTTTGCCGGAGTGTTTGAAAGCTCACTGCAGAACACGCTGGCGAACGAGGCGGAAAATGCACACGGTGAACTCGGTGCGGGTCAGCGCGTACGCAGGCGTCCGGATGTTTTCAGCGGAAGTCTGCTTCTAAGCTTCGTACTGCTGGGAGGCGACAAGAACTCGGCGATTGTGGCGAGAAGGAGATGACAGTGGCTTGTCACACATCCAAACGTTTCGGTTCTAAGTTAGGCCAGCGGCTAAGGGAGGACAGAAGGTTGGAAGGAGGAGTGATGTTTTAAAAACCGCAACGCTTGAAATCGGCAAGCTGAAATGGGAAGGCGGTGTAGTGTGCGCGCTGGCGGGGACCCGTCCTGGGGCAGCCTGGCGGGGCTGCGCCTGCCCGGGGCTCCTCCCTCCGCGCACGTCCATCCTGCTGTCAGAGAGACTCCCGCCATGGAAGTAACTAGAGTAAGGCTGAACGCACGTTCCCGCACTGCCAGCATCGGACGTCTGGCCCGGCACCTGGAGGGCACCGAGGCACTGAGCCAGGGCCCCCTGAGTGCACCTTAGGAAGGATGTGATGCATAGAAACTCATCTAACCTGTGGGTGGAAACCACTTGGAACTCTGGAAGGCACACCTTTGAGCCTTTGTAAACATGGGCTTCTGTACCGGGATTGCGGTTGCAAATTCTTACCTTATTCCGTCAGGTATTGGGAGCAATATTGCTGTGACTACCTACCTCTAGAAGAAGGCCCGCTGCGCACATGCTCACTTTATATAATAATGCCTTTGCCTAGAATTTATGGTAGCAATTTAAAACACTGTGTATAAAATTGTGCTCTCAGCTTTTTTGAGCACTTCACATTTTTCAGTTTCTTTTTATTTTTGTATATATTTCAGTGTCTCCGTTTTTTAGCTAAAGGGAAATATGCTGATGTTTAAGGATATAAAAATCCTTAAAATTTTCACAAAAAAGATAAAAAATGGAATGCTTAAAATGAGTTATGTTGCAAGTACTGAATATGAAATGTTGCAGTTGTGATACATGCAAATTTTCAGAGTAGATTTAGGCTACGCAGAGGTCTTTCATGAAATGCTTATTTTATAAGGTCTGAAAAAGAATACATATCTTTGGAAAAGAACCAGTAAATTTCTAGGAGCTAGAGACATTTGAGACTTGATTATCATAATCATCATTTTAACTAATATTATGACATAATTATTTGCTAGTTCTTGTTGTAAGTGCTTTTAATATAGTAGCTCATTTAATCATTGAATTAGCTGTGTAATAGGGGCAATATTATAGTCTCAAATTTTCAGATTGGAAAGTACTCACAGAAAGTAACCCCAGCTAGTGAGTGCATTGAGGATCCAGGCTGTCCAGGTTTGGCATGCCTTGGCACTATGCCATATTGCCACTTTATATTCTTTTGCAGGGTTGCTTTCATTTTAATATGCAGCAAGAGGACCCTGGTATTTAGTAAAATTGGATTCGAGTTAAAAGCAATATTACATTTTTACAAAGTATCCTTTTTAGACCTTAAGCCTTGGCTAATATGTAAATACATCAATTTCCTAACGTCTGATACTTTTACTGAGTGAGATGGTTGAATTTATAACCTTGATATTCTTGCCACATAATGGATTGCAGTTAAAATCTATAAGCTTCTTAAAAAAAAAAAATCCCCTCCCTCTCTCAACCCTCTTCTTGGTTTGTGTGTTGCTGTATTATAGATTGATGGCCCTTATTAGGGTATATTTTTGCTAAATTATAGCAATGTAAGAAGAAAAGTGAATAGTTAGAATTGATAATCTGTTTTCAGTCTTGTATGTCCTCTTTTCACAGGGGCATAAATGCCTAAAGTAGTCAAAATTGTCCTATAAACTGGCGCCTAGTTGAATTGAGAGCTGTAAATGGTCCATACGTTTCCCCCCCCAGCTTGGGTAGGAGAGTTTGCTTTAATCTTAGAGTGATGCAGTAGTTTTATATGTTTACGAAGAGCAGAAAGCATTTTAACCTCAGTTGGTGAGAAAGCAAAAGCAGATTTACATTTACAGGTTAATTGAAAATGTTCTTATTTTGATTGAAGATCAGTTTTAAATTGTATTCCAGGTCTTGCTCATGCCAAACTTTTGGTCCCTTTTAATTGTAATATGAAGTTAATACTTGTATGACTTGTCCTTAGTCTTTCAGTTATTGAGACTTAATTGTTCTTTTATTCTTTCTCTAATTATTATTTTTGAATCTTTTAAATGTGTAGGATGACAATGAAGAGAATTCAAATGATGGGACCCAGCCATCCAAAAGGAGGCGAATGGGCTCAGGAGATAGTTCTAGGAGTTGTGAAACCTCAAGTCAAGATCTCGGGTACTGTCATTTTACTGGTTATTAATATTTTTTGTGATGTTTCTCTTTGCGGTAACATCCTCTTCCCTTTCCCCCAGCTCTGGCAAAGACAATTATTAAAAATTGTAGCATATTTTCTTACTGTTTTATTATGGGCCACCAAAATTGGTCTTGGTACTGAATGTAATTAAAAAACAATTTTTTGATAGTAAAACGCATAATACATAAAATTAATCGTTTTAACAGTTTTTAAGTGTGCAATTCATTGGCATCAGTTATGTTTGCGTTCTTGTGCAGCCATTACCACCATCCATTTCCAAAATTTTTCACTACCTTATCTGTACTTTATAAGCATTAAGCAATAACTTCCCTTTTTTCCCTCTACCCAGCCCCTTGCGACCATCATTCTACTTTCTATTTCCATAAATATGACTACTTAGTTACTTCTTATAAGTGGAACCATAAAATATTTGTCCTTTTTGTGGCTGACTTATTTCTCTTAGAACTTTGAATATCTTCAGAGTTCATCCTTGTAGCATATGTCAGAATTTTGTTCTGTTTTTAAGACTGAATCATATTCCATTTTATGTATATACTGCACTTTGTTTATCCATTTGGATGTTGATGGCATTTGGGTTTCCATCTTCTGGCTAAGGTGAATAATGCTACATACAGTGAGCATTGGTCAGAGTTTGTGTTTTCAGTTTTTTTGGGGATGTGTATGTAGGAGTGGAGTGGCTGGATTACATGGTAATCCTATGTTTAACTTTTTGAGAAACTGCCAAACTGTTTTCCATAGGTGTTGTATCAGTTTACATTCCTACCAGCAATACACAAAGTTTCCAGTTTCTTCATGTTTCTCACCAATTTGTTTTTCATTTTTTAAAATAATAGCTATTCTAAAAGGTGTGGAGGGATATTTTATTGTGATTTTGATTTGCATTTCCATAATGCCTAGTATGTTGAACATCTTTTCGTCTGCTTCTTGACCATTGTATTTCTTCTTTGGAGACATGTCTATTCAAGTTCCTTGTACATTTTTCATTTGGGTTTTTTGTTGTTGTTGTTGTTCAGTGTTTTTTATATATGAATACTTCATCAAAAATATGATTTACACATATTTTCTTTATGGGTTGTCTTTCACTCTCTTGATAGTGTCCCTGTACAAAATTTTTAATTTTGATGAAGCCCAAATTTTTCATCTGTTTTTTCTTTTGTTGCTTGTGCTTTTGGTGTCATGTAAGAATCCATTGCCAAATCCAAGTTTGTGAAGATTTCTATGTTTTCTTCCAAGAGTTTTCTAGTTAGCTCTCATATTTAGGTTGTTGATCCATTTTGAGTTGTGATATGAGGTAAAGGTCCAATTTTATACTTTTGCATGTGGATACCCAGTTTCCCAGCACCATTTTTGAGAACACTGTTCTTTTCAAAGGTTATTTTTTAAACGGATAGATGTATAACATATTGTCACTTTCCCGTGTCTAATTTAGAGGTTGAATTGGCCCAGATCTTGAAATCTGTACTCTGTTATTCAGGATAGAAATCGACTGCAACATCTTGGCACCTTTAAACTAGGTCTATCCTTCGCTTCTGGGTTTGTGGAGTATCTAAGAACAAATAATTATGGTTTATGGCATGATGCATTGAGATACAGGTTTTTAAGAGTTCTGATTTCTTAGCTATTTATGACTCACTGAACAGTAGACAAGAGACAGAAGTAGTTGATTGTTCCTTGGGTGGATGAAATACTGGCTATGCATTTTTAACCTAAGAGAAAGAATTCAGAGCTGATACCATCACCTTGCTTTGCCCTCATAGGTCCTTTAAACTAAAAATGCCTTCGTTCTTAGCAATTGAGATTCTTGGTTCTTCCCGATATATAAAAGAATGTTATCTTCATTGTACCTTTTTGACTTGGTAAACCAGATAATTATTTCTCTTCCTTGTAGCTGTTTTGTAATTTTCTTTGATATACAGGAAGTCAAGTCATAGCACACAAATAATTTAAATACTTAAAATAGTTTTCAAAATATCCTCAATAAAAGTGATTAAAAGTTAATGAAAGCCAAATTTAATGCATAATATATATTTCTGTACTTAGCTTTAGTTACTATCCAGCAGAAAATTTGATAGAGTACAAATGGCCACCTGATGAAACAGGAGAATACTATATGCTTCAAGAACAAGTCAGTGAATATTTGGGTGTGACCTCCTTTAAAAGGAAATATCCAGGTACTAGTTTATATAATTAAAGCTAATTTATAATTAATAGTAATTCTTTATGATACACTGTCAGCTTCTGAATTTTTCTATAGGTTATAATATATTTTATATTCTTGTGCTTTTGTTTTTATTTTTTCTTTCTTTCTTTTTTTTTTTTTAAAGACTAAGGGTCTCATTCTGTCGCCCAGATTGGAATGCAATGGTGCAATCATATCCCACTGCAGCCTTGTACTCCTGGGCTAGCTGTCCCCATGCCTCAGCCGTCCAAGAATCTGGGACTACAGGTGTGCACCACCATGCCTGGCAAATTTTTAAAATTTTTATTTTGTTAGAGATGAAGTCTTGCTATGTTGCCCAGTGTGATCTCAAACTCGTGGCTTCAAGCTATCCTCCTGCCTCAGCCTCCTGAATTGCTAGGATTACAGGTGTGAGCCACCATGCTTGGCTGTTTTAAATTTATTATCATTCAGCATCTCTCTTCATTATTGATATATTCTATGTCTCATAAACTGATTTAAAAGCAAAATGGGAAAGGTGAATTTCCTGGGGAAAATTTTAGAAAAAAATCATTTTATAGACAAGTTTTGGATTTTTACCATTGTCCCTTGATCTAAGGAATAGAATTAGCTATATGAACCATATCTGAATTTGAGAAAGGCTATTCCTTATTAACTAGTCTAGTTATTTATGTTACCTTATTGCTTTGGATTATTCTATTTTCGATTTTATTCTAACTTTTGTATCTTACTGAGTTTTATTTCTTGAATTTTATTTCTTGAGTTTATAGTATTTTTCTGTAGTCCCTTTAACATTTGGAGTATGTAATATGAATACTTTTAAAAATCAAGTTTTTTAAGCTTTTAAAACTTTTACAAATGCATAATGTTTTGCTGTTTTTGATTTTTTTTTTTGGAGATTTAGAGCGACGAGATTTGTCTCACAAGGAGAAACTCTACCTGAGAGAGCTAAATGTCATTACTGAAACTCAGTGCACTCTAGGTAAGAATAGCTTGTAATGTGCATTTTTCAAGCTGAACATTTACAAGATGATATTGCATTAAGTATCTTCTTTCCTAAAATATTTTACAAAGTTAATAAAATAAACTGAACTATTTAAATCTACATTGTTTAATTCATTTTTGATTATTGTTAAAATGCAAAGGAGAATGAAGCTTGAACACATATATAGTTCCTGACTTATGATCGTTCAGCTTCACGATGGTGTGAAAGCAGTGCATATTCAGTAAAAACCATACTCCGAGTGTCCATACAACCATCTTTTGACTTTCTGTATAATATTTAACAAATCGCATGACATACTCAACACTTGATATTAAAATAGGCTTTGTGTTAGATGATTTTGCCCAGCTGTAGGCTAATGTAAGTTTTCTGAGCATGTTTAAGGTAGACTAGGGAAAGCTAAGATGTTTGGTAGGTTAGGTGTATTAAATGCTTTTTCTTTTCGAATAGTTTCAACTTAGGATGGGTTTATCGGATGTAACCCCACTGCACGTTAGGATGACCTGTATTCTGTAACAGTATAATTGTCTAATAATTTTTACAGAGTTTTCAGAGTATATTTTGTGTGCAAAGCTTGTACAATTTTTAAAGTTATGGGATCTTCGTTGAGTGTAGTGGTGTGTGCATGTAGTCCCAGCTACTTGGGAGGCTGAGGGAGGAGGATCACTGGAACACAGGAGTTTGGGGCTGTAGTATGCTGTGATCATGCCTCTGAATAGCCACTGCATTCCATCCTGGGCAATATGGCGAGACCACGTCTCTAAAATGCAAAAATGCAAATTTTATTCAATGTTTAGTTCTATATAATGTCCATGTTTTATTTGTAGTTTTACTTTCACAAACATTTTAATGCAGCATGGCTACTTTTTAATATAAATTCATGGGAATGCATTTCAGCAGTTGGTGAAATCCGATACGGTGAGTTTTGAATTGTCTCCATGATGAGTGTGTGTGTGTGCTGATGTTTTCGGTGAAGTTTTAAGGAATTTGAAGACTCGGAACTATAATAACGTTGAATTTTTTTTTTTAACTTATCCAATATTTTGTAGTACTTGTTAGTAGTTAGTGTATTTCATTACTTAACAATTGTTTCTAACTGAAGGGATATATGTTTAAAGCACATAGAATCTTAAAAATAAACTTGTTTGGTTGAAAAATGGATATATTTGCCTTTTGCAGGATAATCTTTTAATTGCTTGGGTTTATATTATGAATATTAAGTTTAATTATTTTCAAATATACCAAGATATTTTGCTTTGGCCATTGGAAAACCCATTAAAATATGGAGCGGTTTGAAGAAGTAAATTTTGAAGAGCGCTTTTGTTCACTTATTCTTAAAAGGGCTTATTTTTTTGTTTTTTGTTCTAAAATAGGTTTAACAGCATTGCGCAGTGATGAGGTGATTGATTTAATGATAAAAGAATACCCAACCAAACATGCTGAATATTCTGTTATTCTACAAGAAAAAGAACGTCAACGAATTACAGACCATTATAAAGAGTATTCTGTAAGTAACTGAGGTGACTAGCATATTTTATTTGGGTTGGGGAAAATGACATTTTATAAAGTTACATGTGACTTCCAACTGTGTTTTTCTTCCAGCAAATGCAACAACAGAATACTCAGAAAGTTGAAGCTAGTAAAGTGCCTGAATATATTAAGAAAGCTGCCAAAAAAGCAGCTGAATTTAACAGCAACTTAAACCGAGAACGCATGGAAGAAAGAAGAGCTTATTTTGACTTGCAGACACATGTAGGATAACTTAAATTTAGTAGTCTCTGAACTTAGTTTCTTACTTGTTATTGCAGAGTGCCCATTACCCCCTTGATCATTATTTTTTGGACCACCTATGTGTTCTTTTTTTTTTTGAGACAGAGTCTCACTCTGTAGCACAGGCTGGAGTGCAGTGGCATGATCTTGGCTCACTGCAACCTTTGCCTCCTGGGTTCAAGGGATTCTCCTGCTTCAGCCTCCCCAGTAGCTGGGATTACAGGCACCTGCCTCCACACCCAGCTAATTTCTCATATTTTTAGTAGAAACAGGGTTTACCACTGTTGTCCAGGCTGGCACATATGTGTTCTTTTCCTCCTCAGAACTTGAGATATTATTTTTAATGATGTGCTTAATAATCGGTTTACATTTTTTGTGAGATATCTTTTGCTTTATGATTGATATTCTACTAAATGAAACTAATAATAGTGACATGTCATACTTGCTATGTGTCCGAAGAGTTTTTAAAATAGATTTGCATGTTAATTCTCAAAGTAATCATGTGAGGTTGGAAGTAGGATTACTTCCATTTAATAGATAAAGAAACTGAGCTAGAGAGGTTGTATAAGCTACTCAGATCACTCTGCTTTTAAGTAGTGAGCAAGAGATCCACTGCCATTCCTTGGCAGTTATTTTCATGGAAAATAGGCCTCTAAAACGATAATATATAGAAAGAACTGAAAGCACCAACTGTCCTCTTAGGTAATAGCTCCCAAAATTTCAGCTTTTTTGGGGGGACGTGGGCATGCAGTGGAGAGCATCTGGGGACTCTTTTCCTACAGCCTGAGTTTTAGCATGGAATCAATTTTGTGTTTCTCTTTATGTTAACATAGGTTATCCAGGTGCCTCAAGGGAAGTACAAAGTTTTGCCAACAGAGCGAACAAAGGTCAGTTCTTACCCAGTGGCTCTCATCCCCGGACAGTTCCAGGAATATTATAAGAGGTATTAAATTTTAGTTACAGTTGGTATCGGCTCTTGGTAAGGGGTTTCAGAGCCTTGTGTACTTGCCTCTTAACAATTTTGAGGTCTGTAGATATCACCGTAAGATATCGCATAGGATTTGTGTTGCTGTTCTTTATCTTCTCTGGTTCTGTGGTAAACAACACCCTATAGTCAGAATTTGAACATATGCTGATGAAGTCTGGATGCCCCTGTCTTTGCCCAGTCTCTTTTGATTTCTCATAGATAGATGCTGGGGGTTCTGTAGCGCCTCACTGCTCAGAGTGTGTTCCGTGGTCCAGAGCACTATTATTTCTCAGAAGCTAGTTGGAAATACAGAATCTCAGGCCCAACCCTAGACCTATTATTCAGAGTCTGCATTTTAACAGCTGTCTGCATGATTCATGTGCAGGTTAGAGTTTGAGAAACACTGACTTTCGTTACAGACAAGAAAAGAGAGGGCCAGGGACAGGCACCTGAGTGCCCCAGCGACATTGCTGACCTGGCCTGGCTGCTGCTGTCAATCTGGACCCTAAATACTACTTACCTTCTATTCTGAAACTGAATGTTACTGAGAAAAACAGGGCTAATGGATTCATTTTGTTTTCAAGTCTCAGCTTTTACTTCAACCTTGAACCTTACTCTGGAACCATGTGTTCTTCAGAATAGACGATATTTTTAGAGAATAGAATTTAAAGTACAGTATCATAACTTGCCATTTGAAAGTCAAATCTTGGGCAGAAATTTAAAAAAATTAATTCAAATTTGAGTCATAAGCAGAAATATTTAAAAAGTTTTGCTTTTTTTGTTTTTTGGTTTTTTTTTTTTTTGAGACAGAGTCTCACTCTGTTACCTAGGCTGGAGTGCAGTGGTGTGATCTCGGCTCACTGTAACCTCTTCCTCCTGGGTTCAAGTGATTCTCCTGCCTCAGCCTCCTGAGTAGCTGGGATTACCATGCCTGGCTAATTTTTTGTATTTTTAGTAGAGACGGGGTTTTACCATGTTGGTCAGCCTGGTCTCAAACTCCTGACCTCAGGTGATCTGCCCACCTAGGTCTCCCAAAATGCTGAGATTACAGGCGTGAGCCACTGCTCCTGGCCTTTAATTTTTAAAAATTTTATTTTGGTGTCAGCAAATTATTAAAAGTCATATGCAAGTATGCCAACCCCTTTGCTTTTTGGTGTGTTGTCTTAGTTGGGAAAGTCCTGAGCCATGGTCATTTCCTGAATAAGGGCTACACAGGGTAAGAATGGAGGTGGCACTAAGTGTTGCTGACTGGGAAGAGATTGCCTATCTAGCCTCAGACAGTATAGATGATTAAATTCGTTAGAATACATGCTTCCCAAATTTGTTTACAATAATTTGTTACTAAAAATTTTGCTTTCTGTATTATCTTAAGTAATATAATGTACCATGCACTGCTGTGATAGATATGTAGTAGGGTGTCTGCCCATTCTGTTTGGGTTTGTCACAGACAGATGCTGGGGTTCTATGGCACCTCACTGCTCAGAGTTTGTTTCGTGATCCAGAGCACTATTGTCACTCAGAAGCTTGTTGGAAATGCATATATGTCAATTGTATGAAGTAGATGCCATTATTAGGCTTGTTTTACAAGTGGAGTGGGAGCTCAGAGAAGTGGCAAAGACCTGGGACAGTGGTGAAAGTGGATATGAGCCGGTAGCCAGACTTGGGGCTACTGACATTTCATTTACTTTTTTTCTTTTTTGGGGTTGAGGGCAAAGAGGAGAGACACATCTCTTAGTAAGAATTAAAATCAAATGCATATTTTTATAAGTCTAGTGAAAAGACATTCAGGCTTCTTATTAATTTCCCCTACTTGATGACAAAAATGAAAAATTAATACTCTATTTTTCAAAAGTCTTTGGGGTTATTCGAGAAGTTTAAGGCTATCTTCATAGCTCAATGATGAGTCTATTCATATTTAATAATAAAGAGAAACTGAAAATAAGCCCTGAACTTCAGGTACTCACCAGATGAGTTGCGGTATCTGCCATTAAACACAGCCCTGTATGAGCCCCCTCTGGATCCTGAGCTCCCTGCTCTAGACAGTGACGGTGACTCAGATGATGGCGAAGATGGTCGAGGTGATGAGAAACAGAAAAATAAAGGCACTTCGGTGAGAACATTTCTGTCTAGTAGGAAGCATTTCCTTTCTCTGTGAAGTTTTGCTAATTGCTTTCCTGGAATGTTAAATTGAACTTGTGTCATCATTCTCTCTTTGAAAAAGGACAGTTGCATATAATTTCCAGAAAGTATTCATCAAGAAAAGTTATTTATAGTGTGTTTTGATAAAAACGAGCAGTACATGGCCTTTGGTAAGCTTTATACTTAAAATCACTCCTTTGTAGTTACCATGAGCAGGTTAGGCAAGGATATGGAAAATTAGCTTACAAGTGTTTATTCAGCTTGCAATCTCTTTAAGATAAAATACTGAACAAAACAGACTGATCTCTTGACACAGAAATGTAGTTTTTTCTTAGTTTAGAGGAGTGCATTAACTTCTGTTTCTTTTGCTTAATCCTTCCTATGGGAAAATATTATGTTAGTAATATGTTGTGTAATTTGTTGGGTTTTGCTGTATGACGTTTTTTGGTAGCAAAATGCAGTTGCAAGACAGTGGGCAGCTGGTGTATTCTGTGGACCTAAAGGAGAACAAAATTTCAATGGTGATCTAGGGTTTTGATCCCAGTGATGCCACAGGGCTTTGACTTTCTCTACTATTGTGTTTTAAGTAACTGGCTATTTTAAACTTTTCATTGTAGCCAACCTAAATGTGAGATTGTGCTACCACTGAATGGACGTTGTCTTTCCTTCTCACCAGCAGCTTCTAAAACATTTTTAGTAATGCATATTATGCAGAATAAGATGCTATTCAAGTATTAAAGTGGTGATACAGATTTTCTCTTGTCATGTTGCTAAAAGGGGAGCTATGGCATACTAAGGGTGATGAAGCTGACTTCCTTTCATACCACTAGGAAAAGGGTAAACTAATCCAACATTGTGGGAAAGCATTTTGACAGTCTTACCAATTTAAGTTCCACAGAATTTGACCTAGCAAATCCACTAATAGAATTTATCCTAAGGACTTAGTCAGATGCTGAAAAAATTTAATTAGAAAAAAAAGGTCTGTTTGAGTGTTTGCAGTAATTTTTATGCTGGAAATTACAAATAAATTTTAATGCCCGCAGTGGGTAATATTATATTGTTTTTATAGTATAGAAATGCAGTTCAAAGAATATTTAATGATTGTGAGAAAATGCTCATAATGCTTTTAAAAAAATACTAAAACACACACATGCACACACACACATTGTAATCCAGTTTTGTGTGTTAAAAAATGAGGGCACAGTGAGGTAGGGGGTATGTGTGAGTGTTGGTATCTTTATTTATATAAAGGACACCCAGAAAAAAAGTAGGTAAATTCATGTATCTAGTCAGTGTATGCTTATCAAGGAGGTTCTAGATAACTTAGTTTTTTCATTTATAATTTTCATAATTCATATGAAAGTTCTAATTAGAAAATTTTAAATTATAAAATGAAGGATTAAATGGTCAGATACTGAGGTCTTCAGCCTTGAATATGTAAAATATTTCAGATCCTGTTGTAGATAGTTGAGGGATTGGCTCTGCATAGTTTAACATTATGAAAACACAAATGTGTGCTTAGAAGGACTTTTTTTTGTTTAAGTATAGCCCTTTATTTTTCCTAAAGTACCTTCTTATGATTTTTAGTACTCAGTGAAAATACCCACACTTATTTTTAACAATGTATTTTTGTATGAAACAAGTAATGCTCCCTTGTGACATGGAAAATGATGTTGAAGCTGTGTGGCGTAATAATAGCTAAAGCAGATAATTCCTTTTTTTGTGACTTACGTCAGAAAATAAAATGATGAAGGCACTGATAATATGTGAAATCAGTTTTATATGATATTATAGTTAGAAGGATGGATGATTTTTAACGTGGCTTACTTTAGTTTCCACTGGAAAAAGCTTTCTTATATTTAGAATGATTTTTTTTTATTTTAAATTGATAAAGCCTTAAAGCTTTTTTTTGAGTATTTTCCATAGTTTTCAAAATTCAGACTCAAATTTGTCTTAATTCCAAAGAATCTTTGTTTTTGCCTTTTAAACTCCAGGACAGCTCCTCTGGCAATGTATCTGAAGGGGAAAGCCCTCCTGACAGCCAGGAGGACTCTTTCCAGGGAAGACAGAAATCAAAAGACAAAGCTGCCACTCCAAGAAAAGATGGTCCCAAACGTTCTGTACTGTCCAAGTCAGTTCCTGGGTACAAGGTAGAAGAAAAAAGTCCCTGACTCAGCCTCTTTACTGACCAGCCTCTCTCCCTGAAATATTTTACCTTGACTTTCACGATTGTGGAGCTTCTGCCTGCTGTACTTCACTAGCTGTTCTTCTATGGTGTGCCCTCTGTCCACTGCTTTCTTTTTTGCTTTATTTCCTTGGTGGCTTTTCTGTCACTTTTGGCTATGGTTTAGCTTCTGTTTTCTGTATATGTACAATTTATAAGTCCTTTTTCTTGAAATAATAACCAAGCAAGTATGGGTTTTTAAAACATTCTTTCATAGGCAGAAGTTTATACTTTATTTCCTCGGAGTAAAGATCGTAATTATTTGGCATTTTTAGTGCCCCAGCATTTAGTAGCTAAACCTGCTGAGCTATGAAATATGAGTGGATATACTGTTAGATCAAGTTGCATTTTTGTAGTGCCTTTCATTAAGAAAGATCTGGGTTGAATCTAAAGATTATTTGATCCGTCTGCTAAAAACTCTGGGATAGAAAATAATAAAACCTGTTATTTACGATGTAGTGATTTTTAGCATAACCTTGGTAAATGAGCCTATATGATTCCATGACAAGAATTAAAACATACCTGTTAACTTGTTGGTCTGATTATCCTCAGAGTAAAGTAGTAGGTTGTCAGCAGCTATTATTATTTTGAACTCTTCCTCCCTCTTTCTGCCCCTCTCTTCTCTTACGAAGAAAAGTGAGGTGAGAGGTGAGTAGGCTTATTTGCATATAAGGATTTAAGAATATCGTAAAAGAAAGAATTAGATGTACAGTTTTATGTTTGGGATGGTGGAAGTGAAATATGTTACCTTTTGGTTCTTTTGGTCTGAAATGTTTTAGAACATGCTTTTTATTGCACTTATGAAGGTGTATTGAAGGAAAATTTTAGAGCAAGGCAATGAGAAAGTTTTGCCGAGTGAAATTGTTAAACTCCTTGTATGTCAAAACTGTGATTGTGGTAGATAACCCACAAGAACAGCCTGAAGTAAGTCAGCTTTCCCTCAAACTAACTAGAACACATTCTAACATGTTGTTCATTCACCTTTCTTCAAGTTAAAAAAAAGTGACCTATTAATTAATGTACTTCATATTTTATTAGAAAATTCTTTCATGTAATTAACTTAAAATTCATTTTTTTTTTTTTTTAGCCTATGGCAAGCAAATTTTAAGCTTAATTCAGCAAGGGTTGGCTTCCAAGGGTGTCTGCAATAGGCTGCAGCTATGTGATTTTTGTACTTGTTTTTACATATATAGCTTATCTAATTTCTTTAAATATATAAGTTAATGCTTAATAACTGAAAGCAAGTGAACTCCAAAGATGAAATTTCGGAAACAGCCTACATGAATGAGTGTGTTCTATTGGTCTGCTAAGAGCTTTAAATGGAAGTGGCCGCTCAAAGCGCACCATCCTGTTAACTCTTGAGTGCTAAGTAGATCTTTCAAACAATCAGCTTGATTGATGAGGGGTTGAAAAGAGAATATTGAAATGGTTGTTTTAATACAGGCTGGAAATGAAGAACTGTTCAACACTATCATTGATTTAGTATACGAGAAATCACATAGATTAACTGAACTTAATAGTACTCAAGGCAGATATGCAGAATTTATATTTTACATAATCTGTGCACATTTTTAATACCTAAAAATGTTTCAGGTTGATTTCAAAGATGGAAACAACCAGTATCTAGTCATCATACATTAATGTGAACATGCTTATTAAAAGTTAACCTCTTTATAAAAAGTATTAATAAGCCGGATGTGCCTAAATATTAGGGTACTTCAAGCTAAAGGTCATATTTTATATATGTAAAATACGAGATTCAAGAAAAACAATAATGTATCTGATGTTTTGCTTAATAAGATTCACTAGTGCTTGCCCTTATGTAGGACAGTATTGTTTAGGTTACATTAACCTGAAATTTAAAGCATAATTGTTAGGATTCAGGCCTATAACTATATAATTAAAATCTATATTATTGCTACCATGAAAGTCTTATCTTTGGCTGTTTTTCAAGTAGAAAAGTAAGTGTACTGTGAGCCTTTTGAGATGCTGAGAGCTATTAGGATGAGTATTTTAATTTTCTTGTCAGTAGTGAAACTCTGATGATGTTGCAGTTATTTGAAGTAGAACTGATTGTCTTAACCAGACACACGTAGGTCTGTGTTCCACTGACCTTCGGGAGAGTGCTACACATTGTTCCCTTAACCCCTCCTTCAACTGTGCAATTCACTGCAACTGACTTCTCTAAGCCATGGTTGTTATCTGCTGTGTAAAAGCCCTGGATGGCAGCGCTGTGGCTTTTTAGTGAGGGCAGATACTTTGTATACTGAATAGCAGCATTCATCATAGAAAATGCTACAAGGCTTCTCTCTCCCCCTTCTCTCATCTTTTCCTCTTTTCACCCAGATGAAGACTGTTGGGTAAGAAAAACTAAGTGATTTAACAAAGCATTATGATTTAAACTTAGAAATAAACCTAGAATTTTTTGGTGTCCCTTTTATCATAGGTGTTTAATGTATATTTTAATGATTGTAGAACTTGAATTGCTCTAGAATGTGAATGATTACCCTTGTGTTTTATTCCTTTTGGCTTTTGTTTTGTAAAGAATCTCCTATGAGGAGTTCTGTTTTTAGAAATTAATATTGTTTGGTTATTTCCCTGACTTTAGTGAAAGATATTAGAGTACTTAAATATGCCAGTATCTAACTTAAACTGTAAGTATTAAATAAATAGATCTTTTACATTTAGTACAGGTACCATAACCAAAAAATATTTCTTAGTTTTGATGAAGAGATACCATTCTGCTGTATATTATGGCAGGTACAGATATGATCATAACTGAACCAGAATTTGGATTATAGAAGTGCACTTCCTAGCTGTTTTTTATTTAGGTATAGTAACACACAATGAGAACCTTCTGCTTAGAATGTAGCAGTAACAACAGAGGGTAACTACACTGCAAGACTTAAATGGTTTAAGCATGTGACACTATCCTTTTGTTGGGGGGAGCAGGGTATAAAGATATACATACAGGAGATTAGTTTAATAGTAAAGTTTTATATGTATGTTTAACTTCCATGATATTTATTATTTTGTAGAGACATTTGTGATTGTTTAGAGTTCTTGTTTTTATTATATTTATGTATAAGGTTGACTTTTTTTTAAATAAATAAGCCAAAAATTCTTTTTGAATGCCTCTGTCATCTTTTGCAAAGAAAGATAATCTAAAAAGTACAAAACTTAAAAGAATTAAAAACAAATTGTTTAGGCCTAACAGGTAATGAAGGTGGCAGTGAGACATTTCAAAGCTGGAATATATACAAAGTTTGAGTTTTGTTTAGGTTCTTCTTCGGTTCAGTAAATTAGGAAAGGGATGCATTTGGCAGAGTGGGAATAAAACAGCGATGAAACAATTCTACTTAAAATATTTATTTTCCCCGTTGGTTCGTTCGTGTGTGCGCGCGCGCGCGTGTGTGTGTGCGTGTGCGTGTGCGCCTGCCCCTTTCCCCCATTTTATTCTTGGCCCATGTTTGCTCTTCCTTTTTTACCGCTGTTATTTACTTACTCCTATAGTATGAGTGAACGTCATTTCGTAACAGTCAAGGCTGTGACGTTCGGATGTGCTCCCTTCCCTGGTAATTTTAAGTGCAGTGAACCCTTTTTCCTTTGTCATTTTCATGTGTTGCCAAATATGTCTAAAACCCAAACACCTTCACTGGACCATGCATGTTTTTAATCTGAAAGATGAGTAGTACTCAGAATGTTTATGTATTTTTTAAGTGACTGCAATTTTTTTTGCTTGTCTGGAAACTTATTTTTCCCTTTTATAATGTTACATTTTATAGTGAATCCTTTTAAGTATAGATTTTTTTATTAGACATACAAAGAGAATAATCACACAACTAAGTTTTCCACAAACATTTATGTACATGGCAATGTATGCATGAGACGTCTTTCAATTAAAAATGTTTAAAGTGATTTTTTATAAAATATCATAATACTAAGGAGGATAAACTGATTTTTTAAGTTAGATCCAGTTTTACAGCTTTGGAAAATATCAGTTTTTAAATAATTAATATATAAGCTATTTAAAATGGTTTTCTCTTTAGAGTAAGTCTTAAATTTATCGGTAATTGGATTTTCTTGTCCAATTAATAGTGACATTTTACATTGTATTTAAGTTTATCCTTCTGTTCCTTAAACAGATCTTACTGTGCATGTAGGGAGTATAGAATACTACATTTAATATGAGAGATCATACTGTTTACAAATTTTACAATGAAATTAATGCTTTCAGTAGGCAATCTTACATTGCAGACTCGTTTTGTCTTTCAAAATGGTCCTCATTAGCAAGTTACCAAAAGTAAAAATAGGGCAATAAAGTAACAGAATTCCTTTTGAACCCCTAGTAAGCTCTTCTGGCATGAATTTATAGCCCTCTTCTACCCTTCCAGCCAAAGGTCATTCCAAATGCTATATGTGGAATTTGTCTGAAGGGTAAGGAGTCCAACAAGAAAGGAAAGGCTGAATCACTTATACACTGCTCCCAATGTGAGAATAGTGGTAAGTATTTAAATATCTTTTAAAAATTTTAACCACCATGTTTGTTGGTTCAAAAACTGGAATTTATAGTTTCAGGTAGATTTCGACCAGAGTCATCAAATAAATAAGCAGGGTACCTTGTGAAGCATAGACGCAGTCCATGTGTTTTCTTCTACATTGTATTTTCATTTCTCTTTGGTGATTTAACATTATAGCCATTCTCTGGAAGTCCTAAAGCAAACTAGTATTTTATATGCCATATTAAGTTAAAAATTCTTATGTGAGATACTACTAATACTGGTTTTGATTTAGGCCATCCTTCTTGCCTGGATATGACAATGGAGCTTGTTTCTATGATTAAGACGTACCCATGGCAGTGTATGGAATGTAAAACATGCATTATATGCGGACAACCCCACCATGAAGAAGAAATGATGTTCTGTGATGTGTGTGACAGAGGTTATCATACTTTTTGTGTGGGCCTTGGTGCTATTCCATCAGGTAAAGATTTAAAAAAGAACAAACATTATCTTTGGGTGATGCAGCTCTCCCAGTGCTCCTTTTTTAAGGGTGCATAAAGCCTATCCTGACATGAAGAGCTTGTGGACTCCTATGTGCAAACATGACCAAAGCTGTGATTTTACAGGTCATGTCCACCAGCTTTTCATCCTTAGACAACCCAACTAAAGGATAAATGAGAGGCCAGAATGCCCAGGCTAAGTTTTGGAAGTGTAGTTCTATACATAGAATGAGCTGGTGTTATTTTACTGAAATATAAAGTAACAGAGCATCATCTTGTTTCAAAGCCTTTATTTTTATGTTATCTATTTAGAAACTTAACAAAATGACTGCTACATCTTTACACATTTCTATAGAAAGTCTATTATAGATTTATATAAAGTGGGGCAGCATGACAGTTCCAGATAACTTTACAACAAAGAGAATTGAATCAATCACAGTAATTGAACTAAAATATTACACAGATAATTGTGTAATTTTAAAACTTACTTGCATAGTGTTAACACTGTATAATGCTCTATAAAATATATGCCTACAACAAAGTTTCCTGGGAATCATTAAGCAAGCAACGCATTTATTTAAAGTTCTGTAGTAATTTAGATCAAGTATGTAGTACAATTTATGACTGTGCTGTTAGAAACTTGAAGTTTTAAAGTGCTGTCAGCATAGTACACCAGGACTTGAAAGAATGCTGTTAAGACACACAGCTGCCAGTAAACAGGAGAGAAAAAGGCTTAAAAAAAGCCAAATTCCAGAATGGGTTTTGTATTGAACTTCTGAAGTATGACAGAGTTTAAATTTCAGGAAAGATTATTATTTTTTAAAGGTCCATATGTATGGCATCACATCTCTCCCATTCCCCTTGACTTGGAATGAATTTTGCACAGCACTGATTACACTGATACATTTTTCTCCTTAAATTAAGGAACTCAGAGTCCTTCTCACCACAAAATCCACAGAGGAATCTCATTAGTGATAGCTAAGGAATAAGAATTTAAATAGGCTTAAAAATCAGTCCCATAAAAATTACTTTTCATTTTGTATTAACTAACCATTTTTTTCCTAGGTCGCTGGATTTGTGACTGTTGTCAGCGGGCTCCCCCAACACCCAAGAAAGTGGGCAGAAGGGGGAAAAACAGCAAAGAGGGATAAAATAGTTTTTGACCCTAATGTTGTATATGCATTTAAGTGGAGTATTTGGTGCCAATTTATTTACAACATCTTCATTTTTATGCTAATAAAAGATTTTTTTTTTTTTGGAAATTAACTATGAACTTAAAATCTGCATTTGATTTATTTTTGTTAAAAGCTACTCTTACCCTTGAAACTGATTCCAGGTAGAGAATTCATCTTCTGAAGTATTTTATAGTAACACTGGCTCACTCCAAAAATTCAGTGGAAATATTTAGGAACTTAAGTTACTTAACTATTTCTCCATAGTCCAAAAAGTTATTTTTATGAAACTTCCTAATCGACATTGTTTCTGGCCTACCATAGGTAGTGTTAACAAAGTTATTTAATAACCAAAGAATTTTCATTCATAGCCCAAAATTGACAAATGGCCTAATAAGATCTGCTGCAGCTTGATTTAGAGTTGTCATTACTGGACTGGTACAGGAACAAAGTTTGGAAATCCCTTTCTAGTATAGAAAAGAACCATCCGTACTTCGGGTACAGGCTCAGGGAAGTGTACATAAATCATTTCCAACTTGATTTTAGTAACTCTAACACCGTGAACTTCGCTTACAGAGTAAAATTATAAAGTTACCAACCTTTTAATCTCATCTGTGTAACAGCAAGAAAGGTTGCTCTATTTCCATTTATATAAACCTAAGTGACTGCAATCATCATTTTTAGTCAACCTAATGAAAATAGAGTCTAAACATTTTATGGTACACGGTCTTTTTTTTAACATAGGAATTTTGATCTTTAAGAGAAAACAAATACTGTGCTTGCCTGCTTTTCCTATTTTTGGGGTAACTGAGGTAACAAAATGCATATGGCTTTATTTTTCCATCCCTTTACTAGAGAAAGGTAACTACAACGTCAACCCAGTGCAAGTAGCAGGGTTCATAGCAAACTGCAATCAGCTTCACAGATGGAGCGTTTTATACTCCAGGGCGCTGTCAAGAACTCAAAAGAGAATTTCAAGTACTAGTTTCAAAATGCTAATTAATATCGTCCAGAGAACAGATTCCTCCTCTTGCGAGGCGTCTTCTGGCGCACGAGCGTGCTTCTGGGCGGCATCTGCGCCGTCGGCGGGGTAGGCGGCCTCGTCGAACGGGTGCTGCTCGACCGTGCCGTCGTAGTACACCTTCATCTCGAACTCGCTCTCCAGGTGGGACGGGTGTCCGTAGACGCCGATGCCCACTGGGCGCCGGAAGTGCGCGGGGATTGACACGGCGTCCGGGCCGCAGGTGGCCGACTGCAGCTCGTAGTCGTCGAAGCTGGGGTGCAGGCTGCTGGCGGACACGTAGAGGTCCGCGTCGCCCTTGAGGCTGCGCATCCGGAGGACGATCTTGCCCTCGTGGTTCAGCCGCAGGTAGCTGTAGTTCCCGGCGCCTATCTGGCCCTGGACGACGTGCAGGAGCACCCACTCCTCGGGGACCTCCTCCTCGTCCGAGCAGCTGCCTGGGGATAGGACCTGTGAGGCCAGGAGCAGCAGCAGGGCCGTCGTCCAGGGCGCGGCCGCCCCGCGGGGAGTGGCCATGGCTGGCGGCTCAGCTCTGCAGCCTGAGCGTGGGTCAGCGCTGGCGGGGACACGGGAGGCGCTCAACACCGGAGCCCGTTCCTGCCGGGCGCCTGGTCTGCCGCTGGGACTGTCTCTTCCCACCCGTTTGAGGCCCCGGCGAGAAGAGGAGGGGCTAACCCCTTCCCCGCAGCGTGGCACCCACCAGGGGCAGGAGCAGGGCTGCTGTGGCGCCCTCGGACTCACCACCGGGACCATCCGGACCTGAGGCCGGAGCCTCACTGGAGGAGGCGGAAGTTACGCTAGGCCCGGAAGTAAGCCGGCCGGAAGCGAGGCCTCGCCAGCTGTCGCGAGATAGCGAAGGGGGCGTGGGCGCGTGCGGCGCGTCAGGCGTCTGCTTGCTTTCCTGTGAGCCGCCTGCGGCGGGTCCTCACCGAGCGGGCTGCCCCCTGCGCGGAGTCGGGGAGGAACCCGAGCTGCTGCTCTGGGGCTTGTGCCGAGGCTGCAGGGCTGGAGCCCGGGGGCTCCGCGCCTGTTCGCGGCTCCGTTGAGATCTCTCTGAAAGGGGGCGATTTGAGGTTTCCGCGGTGACCGCTCCCAACGGCGGGGACGCGCGCTCTGGTTCAGAGCCGTTGCTCGCTGTTTCGTCACCCGAAGCCCCCCGCTGACGCCGTCCCGGTGCGAGGGTCTGCACGGGAATTCGGGGCTCAAGTTGGGCCCGAGCGTCCGGGCGGCCGTGGCGCGAAGGCGCAGGATCAGCTCTTTGAGAACCGAGCGCCTGTGGAGTTCGGAGAAGGGCGCAGGTTGTTGTTTTAATGAAAGGAGCTGTGTGTGAAGACATCTCGGACCTCCAGGAGATTCGGTAGTTCCGGAAGGAACGAGGCTTGTTGAAATGCCCGGGCTCCCCCACCTCCCGTCCGCCCTGTGCTCGGAGGGCGGCAGCGTGGAACCCGAGGGCTCCTGAATTCTGCCTCACTGGCCTTTCGCCCCGCGTGGTAACCACCAGGCTGGATTTTCCTAACTCGAGCCAAAAGGCAACTTTCTGGTTTGCTTAGTCACGGAAAGAAACATTTCGGTCTTTTCTAATCAGAAGGGAGTAATTTTCTAAAAATATTCGTATATACAGAAAACAAAACCCAGAAGGAAATGCACAGCATTTTATCCGTGGTACTTCTCGAGTAAAAGGGAATGCATCTTTTATTGTATTTCTGAATTTTCTATGTTTTACTCACACCGCTCTGTGCCAGTAGAGGGGGTGTTGTCTCTACAGCTTCCAGTTTGTCTGGGGTTACTGTCTTGCGTTTACCGACTTATCTTTTAAGGCAATGGTCTCTTTAGCAGTCACTTGCCACAGCTTTTTCTTGAAGTGCTTACCTAGTCCTCGGTGCATTAGAATCTCACTAAAAAAATTAGTTTATCCTCCCAGACTTGTGTGCACGTGCATTCATAGATTTCCGTGGGGATATCCTATATAACATTGGTTTTCCCCTAGGGTTGGCAGAGCAGGAAGAGGAGGTAGGGTTAATAAACTATTATTTCTTCATTGTTTAAATGTTTTGCGTTGTATTGCTTTTGTAATTAAAAAAAGTTAAACAGTTCATATTAGTGCATTTAGGCTAAGTGCTGCAGCAATTCACCCCAATAGAACACTTGCATGTTTCTTGCTCACAGGTTCCTATGTAGCTGTTTCTAGTCAGACCATTCCTTTGGGCAGTTCTCTGCCAGCTGCAGCCGAGACCTCTTCCATCTTGTGGTTGTCTTCCTTCGGCCCTCTGAGTTCTCTGCATTTAGCTGGGGGTGGGGAAACGAGAGTCAATGCAGGAGGGATTTATGGGCCTGGCACTCAGCCACATAGCTGCACCTAATTGCAAGGAAGCTAAGGAATGTAACTTAATTCTGTGTCTAGAAGGAAAGGGAAGTGGCTTAGTGAAAAAGGAGCAGCACTTGCCTTAGTCTCTCTTTCAAATATCTGCTTCACTCTTCAATCCCCAAGGGGGACACTTTGTTAAGGTGCCCAGTGCAACAGAGCATTTCCCAGGATTACACAGTTCTTCTCTACGTCAGGCCTGGCTGTGGTTCCTCATGGTCCAGAGATCTATGGACTAAGGAAACAAAGTAGTTGCTCTCCCCACTAAAATGCAGTGGCTAAATGTAACCGTGGTTTTTGTAACCGTTCCCCTTTCGGAAAAGGGAGACACATGGCAGACACTGGTCTACAGCAGCTTTGAAATGATGCTGGGGTGGACGTGGGAGGGGTTTCCCACCTAGACCCTGCTTCAGCTGTCTAGGAGGAATTCCTTTGTCCATTGTTCTTTTTCTTTCTTTCTTTCCTTTGAGACAGGATCTCACTTGTCCAGATTGAAGTACAGTGGCACAATCACAGCTCACTACAGCTTCAGTGTCCCTGGCTCAAACCATTCTTCCGCCTCAGCCTCCCCAGCTGCTGGGACTACAGGCATACACCGCCATGCCTGGCTAATTTTTTTTTTTGTAGAGACAGAGTCTCACTGTGGCCCAGGCTGGTCTTAATTCCTGGGCTAAAGTTATCCTTCTGCGTTGACCTCACAAAGTGCTGGGATTGCTGGTGTGAGCCACTGTTCCTGGCCTGTTTTCTGAAGCGCTTGATTTACCCTTGGTCTTTTTCCTCCATGATCTCATCTGATGTGGCTGTGAGGATGCTGCCTTGGAGGGCTGCCATAGTCCCCTCCTGGAGCCATGGCAGTGGGGACCAGGCAGTCAGCCCTGAGCCCACCGTGTGCCTTTATTTTGTTCTTTGCTTGATATTACTTCTGCCCCATGTCCTCAGAAGCATGACAGCCTCTGGTCTGTGTGTATCTTGTTGATGCCACTGTTGTTTTTCCTGTGTCTACTGTTCAAACCTGACTCTTTTCTTTTGGTCTCCTGGGTGGCTGCTACCCTGAGGTTGTGTCGAACTAAGGCTTGAGTGGGAAGACAGCCATCCTAGGTCAGATCTTTGCGGAAAGACCAAGACCTGATTGTCCTTATTCCCTCCCTGCGGCCTCTCAGGGCACTCAGGTTTCCCAGCGCTGTGGCCCCATGCTCTTTGCATTTTCTGTTCCTGTTCATTCCACTTGCACATCAGCCAGTTCTCTAGTCCAGTTCCATGTGTTTGCTGCCAGCACTTGACTCTGCAATAATTTCCCGTAGGGCTACAGGATGAGTAAGCATGTGGTCAGTTTTCCACATTAGTAGAGGAAACATTATTAGAGCTTATTGCAGTTCAACGTGTTTGTCACTGCATCATATGCGTCTCGAGCTTTTCCCCTCCTGAATTTCTATGCACCATCAGTCACTAAGCAACATCCTACTTTTCACCAAAGCCTCCTATGGTACCTGCATCAGCCGAGGTAGGCTGACAGAAGTGACCTGAACTTCGTGCAATAAATGTTTCTCTCTTGCTTACACAACAGTCCAGCCTGGTGTCCTGGTCACCTTTTAGTGGGAGCAGTGCAGGCCGCCAGGCGCCTCCACCATGGCCCCTCTTCTCAGCTTTCGGAGACCTCTGCCTCCAGCATGAAGGGTTGTGTATGGGCTGTGACAGGA